ACCCCCACCCCCACACGGGGGTGGACGGGGGAAACTGAGGCTAGGGTCAGCAGGCAGGCTCAAGGTCAGTCAGCACTCCGAGACCTTGGAAGTGCGCTCAGGCTTGGTTCCCCGGGGGAAACTGAGGCCAAGGACACACCCAAGGTCACCGAGCACAGCCCGCCGGCCCCTGCCTCTGCGCGCGCGATGCAGACCAGGCCCTGGTCAGCCCTGGGGCTCCCTCCGCTGTCCCGAGGATACCGCGGGCGGGGCAGCCGCTGGCGCTAAGTTCGCGGGTACCAACCCCTTTCCCGGCTCAAGGTGCCAGATTCCGTAATAAAAGTGTGTTCCCTCCCGGAGGCCACCAGATCCCTGACTCTGTCGCTTTCACCACCTTCGGTACAGAAACCTACGAATATGTGTGGGAAGGACTGGCATCATTCTGGGATCTAAGTTCAGGCCCTGCTTCTGGGGAAACTGAGGCACCGTCAGGCAACAAAAGCATAGTAGATAGAACCTCCTGTGGCTTCTGGAGACCTCATCCCCAAAAAGTGCCCTTCAGCATAATGAGGGATCCCAGGTATGGCGATCCTTAGAGGTCTCCAGGAGATCCAGGCTCAACTTGTGCCTCGGCCCCCTGCCCCCCACGGAGCCCCTTGACTCAGGCCTTAGCTACATTCTACTCTCCACCCCAGCTCTGGGGAGACATTGGCTCCTGGGAGTCCTAAGCTGTTGCTTGAGCCTATGGGCCAGGTGACAGGAGATCTGGCTGTAGATGCCCACCCATCTTCACAGAGTTGGAAGGATTTTTATGACAGGAGGGTGAGGGAGAGGCGGCAACACAGGGAAAGCTCAGCTGGGAATTGGTGGGAAGACAGTTCTTAGCTGCAGACTCTTCTGGACACTGTAGATCCCTCTGCCTTGCCCCCATTCCGTTTCCCTTGACCCACCTAAGTTCACCTTTAAGCCCCCTGGCCCCTCTTAGGCTCTCCTGATGCTTCTGCCCCCACCCCCACTCCCCTAGGTCTTCCTATGTTCTCCTGAACCCTCTGGCCCTTCATGGGTCCTCAAGGTGCCTCCAGCCTTCACCATTTCTGGCCTAAATGTCACAGGATGAAGATACTGCTTGTGGCTGCTCCCAGTATGTGTTGTGTGGTGTCAGGAGTGCGCCCTGCCAGCTGTGTGCTCTCATCTGACACAGATGGGCTGCCCTGACCCTGGGGACTCCAGAGACACCCCTGCCACCCCTCTGGTCTCCACTTTTGAACATCAGAGTTGACAGTGCCAGGCTGTGGCCCGCCTCAGGGCACATGCCTGTTCCAGATGAAGGGGGATCTTTTATCTTCACCCTGGGAAGATGTCAGTCAGGCAGGTCGCCAGAGCCCCAGGGCTTGTGGCTGAATGCAGGGGAGGACAAAGCCCAGCTGCAGGCTGTTAGAGAACCTGACATGCTAGCAGACTGCTCTGCCAGCCCAGGGGTCAGAGCATGCTAGGACTCAGGGATCTTGGCTTGTATCTGCCCTTGCAAGGTTGTCTTGATGCTCTACTGTGGGTTAGGTGTCTGCAATGAATATGAACTGGATCCGGCTGCTGGCTCTCCCCACACATAGTCTCATGCCAGCCCCAGTGTTTTTGCAATATTTGATACGTATCTGGCTTAGGGGCTGCAGTCTCAGATGGGGCTGTGTGTGTGTGTGCGTGTGTAAACAGGAGGTCAGTCTTGGGTGCCATTCCTCAGGAGCTGACCACCTTATTTAGTTTTTTGTTTTAAAATATATTTATCTTATTTTATGTGCATCATGGCCCTGAATGAAGCCAGAGGAGGATGTTGGATCCCCTGGAGCTGGAGTTACTTGGAACTATGGATTGTTTGCCACCATGTGGGTACTGGGAACCAAATCCAGGGTCCCTGCAAGAGCAATAAATGCTGTTAAAACACTCAGCCCTCTTCACTCTAGTTTTTTTTTTTCTTCCAGTTTTATGCCAGGTATAGTGGCCCCTGCTTTTAATCCCAGCCCTTGAGAGGCAAAGGCGAGCAGGTCTCTCAATTTGAGGCCAGCCTGATCTACATAGTGAATTGCAGACCAACTGGAGCTACTTAGTGAGACGCTGCCAATCAATGGCTGAGTGCAGTAGGGCACACCTTTAATTTCAGGTCAGCCCTGTAAACCGCCCCCCCCCACACACACAGAATCTCATCATTTTTAGAAAAACAAACCAATGACCCTAGGGACCAAATTGCTTGCTCCAAGGGTCTCCTTTAGTCTTCTCTGATCTTTCTCACCCCCAATCCCTCTGCCCACCCTCCAAGCACTAACCAGTCATTTCATATCCAGGATTCCGGGTGTTTTGAATGGAGGCAGAAACTAGGCCAGGAAAGGGGTGGACCAGTAGGGAAGCTGGCCCAACAGCATCCAGCAAATGGAAGTTGAATTCCTTGGCTGACAGGATCTGAACTGTGGGTTTCCTGGCCTGAAGGGCAAGACTTAGGAAGGGGGTTGACTCCTCAGGTTCTGAGCCCCACACAGCCTACGTGTCCACTGCACATCTCTCTGGGGTCTCAATTTCGCTAGAATCTGCACATTAAGCAGGGAGTGTGTGTGTGTGGCCTCTGTGTTTTACTTTTGTCTACATACTTTGCTCAGTAGGAAGTTGAGGGTGACCTTGAACTCCTGATCCTGCTGAGATGATAGGTGTGCATAACACCAGCCTGTTGACCGAAGGCTTGCCAAGGTGCTCCTCCTGCAGGCCCCAGTGGGGATATGGAGCATCTGATTCATAGTGAGCACTCTTTCTCTGGGGGACTGTAATAGCCTTTACAAACCTCAGCTCTGCTACCTTCATTGGCTTTCCTGGCTGTTCCTTCCCAGGCCCTTGGCATCCTCCATAGCTGCAGGATGGAGGGGTCCAGGCAAGACAGCCTGGCCCTCCTGCTCACCAGCATACCATTCTTATGGGCTAGGATAGGGCAGAGGTGGACCAGGAACTAGAGGAAAGACTTGGCAGCCTTGTCTGCCTGGAGCAGAAGTAATCAGCCAGCTACTGGATCCCCATGGGGTCCAGCTCCATCAATGAGCCTTTGTTTTACCAAGGCCCTGTCTCTGCCTGCCAGCTGTGGGCTGGGATTCCTGAAATCCTATGGTTCCCAGGGAGGACCCCATAGGCTGTTTGTTCTAAATGTTTTGACAAAGATGAGCCTGAGCCCATCTCATCTCTAGAACTGAGCAAGCTACAGGACAGGGTGAACATTAACTCCTGTACTGTCCTGAGGCAGCCAATACTGCTAAGCTTTGGTTGGTTGGACAAGAACCTTCCCCCTGCCCTGTCCTTTCTGGATGTAACACCCACAGGCTTAGAGCCTCGGTGAGCACTTTGGAGCCCCAGAGGAAGAGCCTGAGGACTGGGGCTGGACCTGAAGTTGTGTGTGCATGGGGGTTGCTTCATGACCAGAAGTCCAGGTACACCATAGGCAGAAACGCCGGGAGAGGACATTTGTATAGGCAGGACTTGCTCTGCCTCAGGGAAGCTGTATCCTGCTCTCCTAAGGGTGGAGTGCCCAGGCATGCCCAATTGCAGGTGTGCCGCCTGATATCCTAGCCATTTGCTTGGTTCTGCGGGACTCAAGTACACCACCATCTGGTGGCCAGAAGGCAGAGCTTCCTTTTCCCTTTGGCCCTCCAAAACCTCCCCTGATCATCTCTGAGATGTACTCTGATGGAACCAAAGCTGGCTGCAGGGTCCCATCCATCTGGAGCCACAAACTGTAATAACACCCCACATGCACACCTGTTCCAACTCCTGCTCAAAACTTAAGCATGAAAACCAGCTCGGCTTGAAGCTGTCAATCCTGTGGCCCCCAGGTGGCGTCCATTTCCCACAACCGAGCACACTAGGCCAGAGGGCAGCACAGGACACCAGCGGTGGTCAACAGTGCCCTCAAGAGGCCAACTTTGCTCAGACATACTCGGCCAGTGTGGCTCTCAGCTCCTTTGCGTGTCAAAGGATACTTTCACAGGGTTGCATTCGTATATCTACATTATGATTCCTTAACAGTAGTAAAATCAGTTATGAAGTGGCAGTGAATATAACTTTATGGTGGGGTGGTAGCATTCACCTTTAATCCCAGCACTCAGGAGGTAGTGGCAGTGGCAGTGGCAGTGGCAGGCCAGCCTAGTCTACAAGTTCCAGGACAGCCAGGGCTACACAGAGAAACCCTATCTTGAAAAACCAACCAACAAACAAATAAATCTTAATGAATTATGGTTGGTTGGAAGGGTCATTGCATCAGGAAGGTTGAGAACTACTGCCCACATCTCAAGCCGTCCCTGATCTCAACGCTCACTATCCCATAAAGATGGGCTTTGGGAAACCACAGTGAACACACACATGGTGGGGTAGGTCTTTATTTGTGGAGTCCCAGCAGACCCAGCCCATGTTGCCCATGGTGGGGATGGGCAGTCCCATACAGAGGAGTAGGTGGTGGAGCCGGGAGGTTGGCCTGGCCTCATGGACAAGGACAAGGCCCCACTCCCCCACTCTACAGGGCAGTAGTGACACTACTAAAAAGGGAGGGAAAAATCGAAAACAACAGAAACCCCTAATGAACGAATTCTCTGTATAGAAACCTCGTTTAAACTAGAAACGGGTGTTGCGGGTGGCTTGCTTCTTCCAGGTGGGCTTACTCTGCAAGGCGAGGCTCTGTCTTCACCCAGGTTGGGATAGGAGGTTGGGGTGGATAGATACGGGTTAGGACAGGATAGGACAGTATGGGAGTGGAGGTAGATGCTGGGCTGGGCCTGGGCGCCCAGATTCCCCCCCCCCCGCCTACTCTGCCACTCAAGTGGCGTTCCTCTGGCGTACATTCTTGTCCTTGTCGTTCATGTGATGACCACTGCCCTTCCTGAGGATACAGAAAAGGGTTCAGCACTCTGAGGCTGAGGGCTGGCCTCAACCACCACCACCAACCCCCCCCCCCCCCCCCCCCCCCCCCCCCCCAGCCAGAGTCTGCAAGCTGCCTTTTGTTCCAATAGGAGCCATCTACCTTCCCTGAATCCACTGAGGCCATGAAAGATGGATGCACTCTATTGGACACCCCCTCCCCCGTTCCTACAGGACAATAGCAGCTCCCCCGAGGGCTCGCAGTGAGCTGGACTTACAGTGGGGCGGCACCAGGGTCATCCTCTGCGATGATGAGCAACCACATGAGAGAGGGGGGGGGAGGGAGACAGGTGTCAGTACCCACTAAGGTTCTTCCAGCAGCGGTCCCTCCCTCAGTCGGGCTTGCTTGAACCTTGCCCTGCATTGCCACCCTCAAGGTGATGCACAGGTGTCATGCATTTGGTGATCAGCACATGGCGGGGCCAACACATCCCAAACCCCACGCTCGCTGTGCAGCCCACCGCTGGAGGCACCCATAGCTCGAAGCCCCACACAGCTGCTGTCTGAGCCACTGGGGAGAGCTCACCACAGAGGAGACTAGCTTGTGGCCAAGTGGAGGAGGAGAAAGGACGATGAGCCAGGAGCAGATCACGTTTCTCCCCCAGGTGGACACAATGAGGGTGTCCCACCCACTCACCCAGACCCAGGGATGCTCACCGTCCAGGGTCTGGTCCGGCTTCCGTCGCTTCTCATAAATGAAGATGATAGTGACCAACACCAGGACCTCAGCCACGATGCCCAGGAAGGGCCAGAGGGCTGCTAGGCGGCTTCGCACACGCAGTGTCATTATCTCCTGGACACTGCCCTGGGTGTTGGTGGCGTTACACATGTAGGTACCAGGGTCACTATTTATGTCAAGGTTGCTGATGGTCAGCTCTGATCTGTCAGCTGTGGATATCACGACGTACTTGCTCTCAGAGCTGTTGGTGATCAGCTGGGGAAGAGGGGCTCGTCATGTTCTACCATAGCCCTTCCTTCACTCTTCCAAGAGCCCCACAATACCCCTCCATGAACCCTTTTTGTCAGTCATCCCTGAAGCCTCATGTCCCATAACAGCCCCGCGTCTCCCCACCCCCTTTCATCCCTAAGTACTGTGTCCACCACAGCCCTCCACTGTCTCTCATTACAACTCTCCCTTTCCTAGAGCCCTGGACCCCCTTCTGCTGCGCCACTGCCAGAACCCCATGTTCCCACCACAGCTCTCACCTGGTCCCCAGAGTCAGAGGTCTTAAACCAGGACCACTCAGTGACAGGGGGGTGAGATGACTCAGACTTGCAGATCAGCCTCACATTTTCTCCCTCACTGGAATGTTCTGACTTCTTCCCGACCTTGATCCTGGGTGGCCCTGGGATGAGGGGAGAGCCTGGTGCCCAAGCCTGCAAATTGCTTCGGCCCCGCGCCCCAACCACACCCTAGCTACCCAGGTTACCCTCCACAACGATGTTGCTCCTGCCCACGGGCTCAGGAAGGAAGATGCAGGCATAGTCCCCAGAGCGGTCATCTATGTCCACCCTGCAGGGAACAGAGTGGTAAAGGTTGCAAGTCCTGGTGGCCACCTCCCCATGCAGGTGTGGGATGGCACCCTAAGAAGCATTGACTCACGTGTACTGCGTCTGCAGGTCAGGCAGTGTGTCCTCCTGCAGTATCTTGCCACCTCTCATCCAGCGGTGGCCAATGATGTCGACACCACTGCTGTTCAAAGAGCAGGTAAGGTGTGTCTTGGAGCCGACGTCATTGATGGAGGTTACGACGGTGCCCGCTGAGAGGCCACAGGGACAGAGTCAGCTCAGGGTCTAAGGGGCTCAGCCCTCCAGTGCCCCACACCCCCAACAAAGGCTGATTTTGGAATCAGAGTGGCTGACAGTCTGCAGCCCCAGACTTCTAAGGCAAGCTGATATCCCACTAGAAGTCCATTTCTAAGGTAAGACACTCAGCTGCCCAAGCCCTGTCTGCTACTCCCACAGCCATCGTTTCAAGGGGAGTACCAGGCCCAACTCCCCACATAACAAAACCATGTGGGCGGGTGCCTTGCATTTCCTTCGCTCAGAACTGGAAACTAAGCCGCAGATCTGCGGAGCCTGCCACCTGGCTGGGCCTCTTAGGCTTGCAGTAGACAGTCAGAGCAGAGGCTTGGGCAGCAGACCCCAACCAGACACACACACACAGGGGAGGCCGAGAGCCAGGAGGGCAGATGCAGAGAGATCAGGATGGGAGGTCAGGGTGGAATACAGGATATGAGCCAAGGACCCACCTGGGCTGGCCTGTATCCAGCAAGATAACACGGAGGAGTGTCTAGCCTACCCATATCCCCAGGTAGGCAATGGGTGGTAGGGCACAGCAGCATCTGGTTCTACCAAGTGGGAGCCAGGGTTGGGTGGCACAAGAGGTGAACAGAGAACAGGTGGTCTGGCCACTCACGTTCAAGGACCACCACGCTTGCTTGGGCACGGACCCACTTGACCCTGGGTGGCCTGGTCAGGTGGTTTCGGTCCGGGTCACTGCTGGCCCGGCACTCGTAGGTGCCTGTGTCCTCTACGGTGAGCCCATCCACAGAGAGTGTGCTGGCCGCATGCTGGCGGTAGGTGGCGTGGATGTGCACTCGGTCCAGCCAGGCACCATCCCAGAGCTGGGAGCAACTGTCGTTTGGACTGTTCCCTTCAAACCACCACTGGATCTCAGGGATGGGGCTGCCCACGGCCTCACAGTGCAGGACCACACTGCCACCCGCCCACTGCTCCTGTGACAGTGGTGCCTTGAGGAAGCCGGCTATGGGAGAGGGTTAGTGCCCGTTACTTCGAGAGAGGGAAGATTGGTAGGACGAATAACCACCAGGGCCTGCCACATGGCCCCATCTGGAGCAAACGCAACAAAATCCATTTCTTTTGTGCTCATGGGAGAAGCAGGAAGTGGAAAAAAAACAAAACACAAAGGGCCAGGAAAAGGTTGCCACCAAGACTAAAGTCCTGAGTTCTATCCTAAAGACCCACACAGTAGAAGGACCTGTGTGCCACACACACACAATGTACTTTAAAAAAGAAAGAAAAACAGAACAGGACTCAGGTGCTACTCGGGAGGTGTAAGCAGGGGTACCGTGTGGTCAAAGTCATCTCCAAAATGAAAAAGACAGGGACTTTCAGGATACTCAGACGTGTATGCTCTCCTCAAACACATGTCCCAGGGGAAGGCAGGTCCTTGCATGACTACAAGATGTGTCTGTGTCTGAAGGTACAAGTATATGGGTTTGGGCCCTGAGGCCCTGTATTGGGGGTAGGGACCACACAGCAGCTTTGGTGGATATGTCTTCCTAATAACCTACATTCCAGAGTTGAGATCTCCCAGACTGGCCAACCTGCAGCTCTGGGCGGGTGTGACTAGTCAGGGCAGGAGAGGTCACAGTCTGGCCCTTACCCTTTCCCTGTCAACTGCTCCAGAATGTCAGTATCAACACCACTTTACCTAGGCCTGTCAGTCAGGAAAGGCAGGTGCCCCCAGGACCCCAGCCAGGTATCCAAAGAGACACCATGGGTATCATCCATCTGGGGCATGGATGCCACATGCCAGGCTGTTAGGACCCGCTAGGTGGACCCTGACCTATTCTCAGGCATGCAGGGTGCACTGTGGTACTCCTTGGCATCTGTCACCGACATCCCCACACAGTGCCTAGATACTACTGGGGTGTAGCCCTCTGGAAAGGTACTGTCTACCATTCTAGGTAGGGTGACCAGGGTGACCAATAACCCTGACCCCAACCTCAGGAGCCTCCACAAGGGCCTTTGAGAAATCAAGCTGGGAGTCTGGCCACGTGACCTGCAGCCCACAGCTTCCAGCCATCACCTCGGTCTAAAAACAGCGCCCTCCTCCCTGCCCACTCACAGCCGGGTGGGAACAGGGCCAGACTGGGCTATGGGTAAACAAGCCAGTACCACAGGGTGCAGGGTGGGGGCACCGATCTGGAGGGCAGTCCACAGCCAGCCTCCTGTTACCCGGCACCTGACCCAGGCTGTAGGCTTACCACCTCTCCTACCATGTAATTCTGTCAGACTTGGATGGCCACTGGGAAAGCAACTGCACTCTAGGCTGTGAGAAACCGGGTGTGGAATGCTCACACCAGCCTGTAAGAGACCCTAGTGTTAAACCCCAGCCTCACACACCAGGAAAACAAAACAGAAATGTCCGCGCCACACAGGCCCTCTGAGCAGAGCACCCCGCCACTGTGCAGCGGACAGTGAAAATGGAACATTGCAGGCTGACCTGAGCCCTGCCCAGGCTGTTTGGCTCTTGGGCTGTTCCCAGGAAGGGCTGGGACCTGCCTGCAAGCTACACTTTGTGCTTGGCTCCCGGGCACGGCAAAGTTCTACTTAACCCCAGGCAGGAAGCCACTGGGCCTGTGCCCAGGCAGGGTGGGGAACTGTAGCCTGTACAGGGAGTTTATCAGTGGCATCCACCTTGCCGGAGGGGGCAGTTATCTGCACCCAAGAGCCAGTCACATGGGGGCACCTCAAGATGTTTGGATGAGGAAGAGGGACTAGGGAAAAGTGGGTCAGGATTAACCCGGACACTGCTGCCAGGCACAGCCCCCTCCCAAATCCACTGCTGATGGGGGTGGCAGCCATGTGCCCTGCTTCTTCAGTAGAGCTCAGGTTCTGCCCTTTGCCTGCTCTGTCTGGAGTAGGCAAGAGGGCAGCCATGTGTTCAGGCCTGCTACACTGCCTTCTAAACTCAACCTTGCCATGACCTTGAACACCAGCCTTCCCCACCTTGGCCTCAGTTTCTCTTTTGAGCCCCAATCAGGCAAAAACCCAAAGCTAGAATGGGCCAGACTCCAGGGTGGGGACAAGCTGAGAGTGTTGGGCCTCAGCCACTAGAAATCTCATCAAGAATGATAATCCAACAAGTCCCTGGGACTGTGACCCAGGGCCATTCGCAGGCACTCACTCCAGGGGAGTCCTAAATCAGAGGAGCAACCTAGAGCTTTGATTCCAGCCCAGAGGGGACATCTATCTCCTTCTCCCAGGAGCAAGGACACTGGCCATTGCCAAGGACCAGGGATGACCAATATAGCCCCTGTGGACTATGGCAAGCCCGGGATGTCACTCCAACGAGGACAGGGACAGCTGGGGACATCTGATGATCTAATTGGGACTCTTCCAAACTTAGGGATGGGAAGGAACTGCCACTCTCAGAACTCCCCACCCGACCTCCAGGTAACACCATCAGGACAACAGACTCAATTCAACCCCAGTCCCTCAAGCCTGGGATACATCATCCCCGGGAACCTCTGAACTCCATATCCTCCAGACTCGAGGACATTACTTACAGGCAATGCTGCCCCATCCCATGGCCAACTTACTCTCATTCTTCCAGGCTCCCCAAACAGTGCTGTAGTCCTCCACTCACTAAGTAGAAACATCAATGTGGCACCTTTCCCCACCCCATCCCCTACAGCAGGGCCACCCCCCTCAAGTTGTCTCTCAATGTTTTCCTCTGAGTGGACATACCAAATTATTGGTGGTTTGTTTTTCATTATCACAACCTCAAGGTAGATCCTTACACTCTAGTCTCCCAGTTCCCCCAAACGTTTCAGGAAAGGCTGCCTCTCATCCATCCATAGCCTCCCCAAATTAGGGATTGTCACTCTCTCTCTCTCTTTTTTTTTTTTTGGTTTTTCAAGACAGGGTTTCTCTGTGGCTTTGGAGTCTGTCCTGGAACTCGCTCTTGTAGACCAGGCTGGTCTCGAACTCACATAGATCCGCTTGCCTCTGCCTCCCGAGTGCTGGGATTAAAGGCAAGTGTCACCACGGCCCGGCAGGGATTGTCACTCTTATCCTGTTCCTTGAGCAGGGACACCTTGGGGTTATTTCCTGACATGTTCCCTAGGCTGGGAATCTTCCCACAATGGCAGCTTCCTCAGCCCCTAGGTCTCCCCAAATCTGAAGGAAGCCACCTGCAGCACTGCTGTCCCGCACCCGAAAATGCTACAAATCTCTCCCAGATGTCCTGGGATTCCCTCCTGGCCATGATCCTCCGGCCCCCACCCCACGCCCCGTGCCGTCCCTAAACCAGGAGGCGGTCAATCTCCAGGGTCACCTCCCAGTCCTGACATCCAGGTGTTAACGACATAGTAGCTCCGTCCATGACCACTCAACCTTAGGAGTGTTGTCCCAGCCTCAGGGTCACCTCCACCCACACCCTCTCCAACTCCCCCAAACCGAGGCCAAATATAGTCGCTACTGTACCCCAAACCCCAGGGTCACTTCCCAGCCCTGTTCCGGGAGTGGGGACAGTAAGGCAGCGAGTCCCTCCAATCCGCAGCTGTCCCAAGTCTGGGGTCATTTCCGCTCGTTCTCTCTGGACTGCTTTCCAGCCCATGCCCAGGTGGGGACTACCGCAGGTGATGGCTTCCTCCATCCCGGCCCCCCAACCTTGGAGTATCTCCCCAGAGCCCCGCGGACCCCTAACCTTTTATTTGTCTCTCCAGGGCCGCATCCCCAGGATCACCTCCCTCCACCCTGTCGCCTAGCCCAGGTCGGGGGTCAACTCGAGGGTCACTCGCAGCCAGTTATTCCTCCCCGAGTAGGGAACCAAAGCTGTGGCTCCCTCTACCTGTGGGTCCCCCAGATCTGGATTCAACCTAGGTCCATGCCCCAGCCCCAGGTCTTACCCGCCGCGCAGGCGCCTTGGCCGCACAGGAGCGCGAAGCCGAGGGCCAGCAGCAGCGCCGCCGCCCTGTCGCCTCGTCCAAGCGCGGCCCCGCTGCGGCGCTCTATAAGGAGGGAGGGAGGGAGGGGCGCACGCATGCGCGCAAGCACGCACGCACGTACGCGGCGTCGCGGGGCGGGGCGGGGGGTACGGCGCACAACAAATAGGCCCGTCCTCAGCATCCGCCGCTCGGGTTCGTCCGGTGGATGCCGAAAGCGCGGGGGTGGGGGTGGGGGGGGGAAGCGCTGGCACGTGACCACACAGGCCACACCCACAGCGCGCTGGGATCTGGATCCTCCACCTCCCCTGGTGGTTTCAAGTTTTTTTTATTTCTTTCTTTCTTTTTTTTTTCTTTTGGTTATTGGTGGTGTTTTGGAGACAGGGTTTCTCTGTGTAGCTTTGGAGCCTATCCTGGCACTCACGCTGTAGACCAGGCTGGTCTCGAACTCACAGAGATCCACCTGCCTCTGCAGGTGGATTAAAGGCGAGTGCATCACCACGCTAGACTCTCCTTTTCGTTAAGAGAAAACAAAAATCGGCGGGTGGTGGTGGCGCACTTCTTTAATCCCAGCACTTGGAGGCAGAGGCAGGCTGATCTACAGAGACAAGCTCCAAGACAGCCAGGGACGTCTGGCAGAAAACCGATCTCAAAGAAACCTCCAAAACAAAACAAAACAAAACCCTTCTGTGGGTGTTACCTGCTCTGAAGTCTGAGGCCAGAGGATCGCTTACACTGGAGTGAACATCAGCTTAGCAATATAGACCCAGTTCTCCACCAAAAATAAAAGTGGGAGGTGGGAGTAACCAGGGGTTCGGCAGCAGCCTCGGGGGTCAGCAGCTCATTTGAGGGTATTCACGCCCTCAAATGAGGATCAAGCCTGGCGTCAGAGGGACCACGACAACGTGGTAAATCACTATGGGCCTCGTGACCCACTTACACTCAGCCGCGAGTGCCTCTCAGAGGCTTGGGGGCCTCTGAACTGTCCAGAATCCCCAAAGCCTTCTTGGAGAGGCCAAGCTACGTGCAGAAGAGGGCCAGGGCAGGGGAGCTGCCAGCTGGCCTCAAAGGGCCTTAGGGTCAAAACAAACAAAACTGGGCCGAGTGAGGAATTCCTAACCCCCTGCTTGTTCTGGCCTCTGGGATCCTTCAGGTTGTCCAGGAAGCCCCAGCCCCCTCCCAGGCCGGCCCCTCCCTGACCCAACATGACCTGTAGCCTCCTGAAGTCCTTTTGCCTGACTCTGTCCTGGCCAAGAGCAGCCTGGATTAGCAGATAAAAGTGTGGAAAGCCGTCAGGAATGCTGGTGCATACCTGCCATTCCAGCACCTGGATAGAAGCCAGAAGAATCAGGAGTTCAGGGGGTCTTGGCTACACAGTTTGAGGGCACCCTGTCAAAAACAAAAATCAAACCAACAAAAACAAAAAACACATGCCAAAGAAAAGGAAAGGGAGGCTGGTGAGATGGTTCAGCTGTTTAATAGTGCTTACTGCTCTTCCAGAAGACACAGGTTTTATCTCCAACACCCACATGGTGGCCTACAGACATCTGTAACTTCAGTTCCAAGGGATCTCATGTCTACTTCTGACCTCCTCAGACACAGCCACACAACTAGTGCACAAACATGCACGCAGGCAAAACACCTGTACACACAAAATTAAATGAAAGAAGAAAATAAGCACAAACCAATCCATAAAGTTTGAATGGCATTATTTTAAACCTTAGATTTTTTTTGGGGGGGGTCTTTTTCACCCAGTGTTTGCATCTTGATGTTATGGTGGAAGTTCCACCCAAGCCCCCACCCCCCTATCTCCCTCAGAAAGCCTGCCAAATGATGGCCCCTCCTCCAGAGATGCTCAGGACCACTCCCCCCAGAAGACAGACTGTCCCCCAGAAGACAGACTGTGGTTTTCCGCTCACTTTTGCGACTCTCTGGGGGGCTGGAAGGCCATCAGGGAGTGTTGTATCTTTTAAACGTGGGCTTTTCTAATTCGGTTTGATTTGGTTCTGATTTGGATTGCTGCATCGGTGGAGAGAGGCTTATGGGGGTGTAGAAACTTTTCACTTGCATATATTGAGAACTATCTGTTGTGTATTTAAAACTCAGGATTTGGTGTTATTGATTTGTTTTTGTTTTACAACACAGGGTTTTTCTATGTAGCCCTGATTGTCCTGGAACTCTCTCTGTAGACCAGGTTAGCCTTGAACTCACCAAGATCTCTGCCTGGGATTAAAAGTGTGGATCACCAACACCTAGCTAAGACTCAGGATTTTCTTTCTTTCTTTTTTTTTGGAGGGGATGGGGGTTTCGAGACAGGGTTTCTCTGTGGCTTTGGAGGCTGTCCTGGAACGCTCTGTAGACCAGGCTGTGTGCGCCACCACCGCCCAGCCGGCTGTTTCTGTCTGTCTCTCTTTCTTGCTATGCTGGAGATGGAAGATGGAATCCACACACTCACATGCTAGCCAAGAGCTTAACCCCTGAGCCCTCGGTCCCCTCACTGGAGGAATTCTAGGTAGGCGCGTGCACATGAGCACACACACACACACACACACACACACACACACACACACACACACACACACGCACGCGCGCCAGCCACTCAACCCCAGACCCGGGACTAGGTCTCTGTAACTGACAAAGAGACACACAGCAGAATTCAGGTAAAGGCAGAGAAAGAAACTGCAGTAGCTGGGTGGGTGGTGGTGGCGCACGCCTTTAATCCCAGCACTGGGGAGGCAGAGACCAGCTTGAGGCAGAGACCACTGGTGAGTTTGAGACCAGCCTGGTCTACAAGAGCTAGTTCCGGGACAGGCTCCAAAGCTACAGAGAAACCCTGTCTCGAAAAACCAAAAAAAAAAAAAAAAAAGAAGCTGCAGTAATGAGACCTCAGGTCCCTGGAGAGCCAGCAGTCCTGAGTCAGGGAGAGGAAGGAAGGGTCCTCCCAGGCACCATCTTCATAGACCAGAGTCTGTAACTCTGGCTTCAGATGAGAGAGCACAGCCAGGTCTTTAGACTTGCCCACCTGGGGAGGTCTCTTTTGAGGAGCAGATGGGAAGTGGGAGTGCCAGGAGCCAGCCCACAGGAAGGTTTCCCACTTGCATATGCGCTGGGTGGGGGTGGCTCTTTGGCTCTCCCAGCCCCCTTAATCTACTGAGATTATAGCTGTAAAATATAATTTGTTGTTTTGTTCAACTGCTTTTATTTTTAACTTTTATAAGAATGTTTTAAAATTTTTTTGAAGTTTTTGTTTTTGTTTTTTTGAGGCAGAGTTTCTCTGTGTAGCCCTGGCTGTCCTGGAACTCCCTCTGTAGACCAGGCTGGCCTTGAAATCACAGAGCTCTGCTTGCTTCTGCCTCTCAAGTGTTTGGATTGAAGACATGCATTACCACATCAATTTATTTTAGATTCTAATTTTTATTTTTTGGTTTTTCGATACAGGGTTTCTCTGTGGCTTTGGAGGCTGTCCTGGAACTAGCTCTTCTAGACCAGGCTGGTCTCAAACTCACAGAGATCCGCCTGCCTCTGCCTCCTGAGTGCCTGAAATAAAGGCGTGCACCACCACTGCCCGGCTAGATTCTAATTTTGAAATTATTTTTATTTGTGTGTATTCATGTATAAAGTTTTATTAGTTTATTTAGTTTTATTTATTTTATTTATGTGTATGTGTGTTTGTCTACATGTATCTATGTGCCCCATGTGGGTGCAGTTCCCAGCATGGACAGAAGAGGGCACTATATCTCCTGAAACTGAAGTTACAGAGGGTTGTCAGCCTTTTGTGGGTGGTGGGAATAGAACCTGGGTCCTGTGTGAGAACAGCAAGAGCTCTCAACCACTGAGTCATCTCTCCAGATTTTCTCTTTTCTTTATGATTCAGGTTCCTTCTTTGTTTTCATGCTGGCCTAAAACTCAGGACCCTCCTATCAAATGCAGGGGTGAGGTGTGGTGGTTTTACTGACATGCCCCCATATTCATGCTGCCCCACCATGGTGGAGGCTAGCCCTCTGGACCTGTAAGCCCAAATAAACTTTCTTCCATGAGTTCCCTTGGTCTTGATGTTTTATCCCAGCAACAGAGAAATAGCTAACATGGACACCTTGCCAGCTCCACAGGAGGTCCAAATCTTGAGGGCTAGGCCTTCTGTGTCCTGTGATCAGTGCTCACAGCCTGTGTGTGGCTTTGGGACAGCCACTAGCTGTGGCACGGTGTCTTCCACTTGTGTCTTCACAGTGTGATGTTTCTGGAACCCTGTGGTACTTCCCAGGCCTGGTTCCAGCCACCTCAGCCTGGCTGCTCCCACCTCCACTGTATGTGGGGAATCAGTGAGGGGCTGAGTATGGTGTCCAGCACAGGCAGCCAGAGCTGTCCTCGGGAGAAACCGGGTGTGCTGGTACATGCTTGACATCTTAACACTCAGGAAGCTGAAGCAGGAGAGTCACTTCAAGTTCAAGGGCAGACTAGACAACAGAACAAGAGGTGCAGGGAGGGAGGGAGAGAGGAGAGAAACCCACATAGGTCTCCACTGCCCTGGTGGGGCGAGCACCTCCAGCCTTCACATCCTTCCTTGTCTGCACAGGGTTTCCCGGCTCTTTGTAAACCCCTGGCCTTCTATTCTTCATGGGGTTGTGGGGGGCTGGTTCAAGGCAAAGGAATAGTTAAGAGAAAGCTTGGACAGCAGCAGTAAACATCTTGCCTGCCACTATAGGCCGGTCCCCTCTGATCTGTGTCCAGTTGGAGCCGCCCCAGAACCCTGCTAAGGGGCTGAGAGCTGAGAGGAAGTGCAACCGGCTGAGAGCATTCAGGCTGATGGCTGAGGCCCAGCTGGCCTCTTCCTTCTTTAGGTTTTGCCAATCTTGTTAGAGGGACAGTCAGGGACAGAGGCCACCACATCCATTGGAAGGGGTCATGAATGAGTGTTGGCAGGTTTATGGGTAAAAGCGTCAATTTTTTTTTAAGTTTTTTGTTTGTTTGTTTGTTTGTTTGTTTTCTCAAGACAGGGTTTCTCTATGGCTTTGGAGGCTACTACCTCTTGAAGACAAGGCTGGCCCCAAACTCCAGGAAACCCACCTGCCTCTGCCTCCCGAGTGCACCACCATCGCCTGGCTGAATTTCTTTCTTTCTTTCTTTCTTTCTTTCTTTCTTTCTTTCTTTCTTTCTTTCTTTCTTTTTAAGATTTATTTATTTATTATGTATACAGTGTTCTGTCTGCATAACACTGCGGGCCAGAAGAGGACACCAGATCTGATTACGGATGGTTGTGAGCCACCATGTGGTTGCTGGGAATTGAACTCAGGACCTCTGGAAGAGCAGCCAGTGCTCTTAACTTCTGAGCCATCTCTCCAGCCCCTAAAGTTTTTCAAGGCAAGGTTTTTCTGTGTAACCACCATGGCTCTCCCGGAAACTGACTCTGCAGACCAGGCTACCTCAAACTCACAGAGATCTGCCTGCCTCTGCCTCCCGAGTGCTGGGATTAAGAGAGTGTGCCCTACCTCCAGGCTCAGTCTCACAGATGTTAACCAGCAGAAAAAAACCTAGAGTGAGCTGGGGAAACTGGATTGGTAAAATGCCTGTTACATAAACATAAGGATCTGAGTTCAGATCTGCAGAGGAAGCCTGAAGTGGTGTGGAGGGCTTGATGTAACCCAGTGCTGGAGGGGAGGGACAGGCAGAACTTTGGGAATTGCTGGACAGCCATACTAACTAATTCAGTGAGTCCTAGGTCCCAGCTAGAGACCCTGTCTGAAACAAACCGAACAAGCTGGGTATGGAGGCACAAACCTTTAATCCCAACACCCTGGAACCAGAGGCAGGCAGATCTCTGAGTTCAAGATCGCTCAGCCTGGTCCACAGCCAGGGTTACATAGAGAAACTGTCTCAAAAAGCAAAACAACAAAACTAAAACAACCTTTGTTGATGCCCAAGATTAACTTGCACGCATAAAATCCAAGGTTTCAGGTGCTTGTGAAGGGCCAGAGGTAACACAAATGTCTGTGGAAGATGAAGCCAGCCAGGCTTGGTGGTCCACACTTGTGACTCCCTATGCTCTGAAGGCTGAGGCACAGGATTACCGAGAGTTTTCAAGGCCAGCCTGGGATAGAGTAAGACATTGTCTCAAAAATGACAGAGTTGGTATGGTGGCATGTTCCTATAACTTAGGCACTGGGGAGTCAGAGGCAGAGGCAGGAAATATTTCTGTGAGTTTGAAGCCAACCTGATCTACATAGGGCATTACAGGATCACCAGGGCTACAGAGATCCTGTTGCAAAAATAAACAAATAAAGAGGCAAATAAACAAAAAGAGAAAGGCAATGGGAGTGATTAGTCTAGTGCTGCCGTCCCCTGGGCTTTCCTAGTGTGGAAACAGGTGGCATGTACCTGTACTGGGGAGGTGGAGTCAGGATGACAGGGTCTCGTGTAGCTCAGGCTGGCCTCAAGTCCTTAAGCAGCAGGGAAGAATCTTGAATTTCTGAGCCTCATGCTTCCACCTCCCTCTTCTTCTAATATTTGTTTTTATTTTGAGGAGGGGGCTTCAGAGACTAGAAGGAGGTGTCTGAGCCCCTGGACCCTAAATCACAGGTGGTCGTGAGCCATCATGTGGGTGTTGGGTTTCAAACCCAGGTCCTCCGAAAGAGCAATCAGTGCACTAAATCTCTGAGCCATCTTTCCAGCCCCCATTTTTTTGTTTGTTTGTTTTATGAGACAGGGTTTCTCTGTGTATCCCTGGCTGTCCTGGAACTCACTCTGCAGACCAAGCTGGCCTTGGACTCACAGAGATCTGCCTGCCTCTGGCTCCCTAGTCCTGGGATCAAAGGTGTTCACCACCACTGCCCTGCAAGCCCCCGTTGTTTTTGTTTGGTTTGTTTGAGCCTGGATCTGGCTCTATAGCTCAGGATGACCTGGATTCTTGCCCTGACCACTCCAGCCTCCAAGGGCTGGAATCCCAGGTGTACCCACCACTCCCAGCTTTGTTTTTCCCAGGCCCTTCTCTGTCTATAAAACCAAGTTAATCTGCTGATACCTTTGAAACCTATTTTATGGAGCCAGGGCCACCCAGAGTCCAGAAGCCAGGCAGAATGTTCCCTGGGGCATGGCAAAGAATAAGGTTGAGCCAACCCAGCATTCTGGGACAAAGTGCAGGATGGAAAATAAGCCGGCCAAAAGCATTTAAGCTTTGGTCGCTGTAATTCCACCCTGTGACTTCTGGCTGGCCTTTCTCAGACTTCCTGTTCTTTCGAGGCTGTTTTGTGAAAGAAATGAGAATAGCTAAGAGCATGCCCCTCTAGCACTGGGTTCAAAAGGGCGTGTGCAGTGTGCCTGTCACCCCAGCACCCAGGAGGGGAAGTAGGCACACCAGGGTCTTAAGATTATTCTCAGCTACATTAGACATAGGAGTTTGAGGCCAGCTCTCTCTCTCTCTTTCTCTTTCTCTTTCTCATTCTCTCTCTCTCTCTCTCTCTCTCTCCCTGTTTTTGGAGACAGGGTTTCTCTGTGTAGCTTTCACTGTCCTGGAACTAGGTCTATAGACCAGGCTGGCCTCAAACTCACAGAGATTTTTCTAGCTCTGCCTCCTAGGTGCTGGGATTAAAGGCGTGCGCCTCCACCATCCGGCATGGAACTCTATCTCAAGGGGAGACTTCTCTGGGAGAAGTCTGTAAATAGATAGGTTACCCCTGCTCTTGAGACAGGGTGTCATGTAGTTCAGGTTGACTTTGAAATGGAGGCAATCCTCCTACCTCAGCCTCCCAACTGCAGAGATCACAGGCAAGGAGTGAGTGCCATGGTTTCTTTGTTTTTATTTTTTGTTTTATTTTTTTCGAGACAGGGTTTCTCTGTGTAGTCCTGGCTGTCCTGGAACTCGCTCTGTAGACCAGGCTGGCCTCAAACTCACAGAGACCCACCTGCCTCTGACTCCCAAGTGCTGGGATTAAAGGCGTGAACCACCATCGCCTGGCTTGCAAAGAGTCTTTTATTGTTTAATGAGTTAACTGCCTTAACTTGGTTCCCTCATCTGTCCAACACAGTGGTTGGCCTGAGAAGGACCTGGAGAAACTGCAAGGCGGGAGGGGGGGTCGGATTTATTGGGGTGTGCAAGGGGCATGTCTAGGGGTATGCAATAGTCTCAGGATTGGTGCATTTCTGGGCTTGGGCAACCTGACCTATGTTGATTGGTCAACTGGTTGCTACGTCCTAAAGGCCCTCCCAGGGCGGTTGCTATGCTCTGCATGTCACTGGTCACTGTTACACAACTTTTACTGTAAAGCCCAGAGCCCACCAGCCCACCAGCAAACTTCCTTGCCACAAGGAGGGTATCTGACCGCCTAGTGATTAGGGTAGCTCCTGCAAGGTCAGACATCTTAACGGGTCTTTTTTTGCAGCTAAAGCAGGTGCCTTGGTGAGGATCTGGTCCCTTCAGAATGACACTGTAGCAGCTTGTGTTGAGGTGTCAGTTAAGCAGAAGTTGGGGATGTTCTGTGGGGAGCCTCCCATCTCCTCACCTCATATGATAGAGCCACAGAGGGCAGCTGGTGCCCCCTGCTGGCCAAGATGTTGCCATTGCTCTTGCCTTGGCTCCCAGCAGGCCCATGTCCATTCCATGTCCTAGGGTTGTACTGACAGCCACTGGGAAGGGACACCTTCATCTTAGAGGCTCACACAGGCCAGAGGCAGACAGGGCTGGGTGAAACAGACTCATCATGATTTATTGGTCCCCAGAGGCACGTCTAACCCTTTCCCACCCAGGCCGGTAAGTGTTGAGGTCATCTGGAACATCAGGCCCAAGGCTGGTGTGGTCAGCGATGGATGACCTTCCTGATCCAGGGACTGTAGGGGGCCACAGCGGTGGCCACAGGGGGCTTGAAGATGTCTGTGCAGTTTTTAGAGCTGAAAGACAGGATTCCATCCACCTGGCCTTTGCCACATACCAGAGGCCCTCCAGAGTCACCCTGTGGGAAGTGAGGAACACAGGTCAGCTTCTGTGCCTGTCTCAGGGACCAGGGGCCACAAGTGCACCCTTGTCTTCCTTTCCATTTTCTCCCTCTCCTTTCTCCCCTAGGGCCTTTGCTCTGGGCCCAGATGACTAGTCTGTGGTGCTAAATTTCAAACACAAATCTGTCTTCCTGACCTCCAACCTAGACTGTTTACTCTCCTAGGGCCTTGGTTTCTGCATCTGACAAATGAGATGAATGCTAGCTCCACCCTCCTTCCACCCCAGCCCCACCCAGAAGAGACTGCAGGAGGGCCAGTGAGTGGCTGAGGGAAACCAGGCCACGGCAGCCCCTCAGCCCCTCCATCCTGCACCTTTAGCAGCGCCAGGTCATTTTCAAGGTTGCGGTTGTAACCAGGGTGCTTGATGGCTGCCTTGATGTGGAAGGTGAGGCCTGGGTCTCGAAGGTCTTGGAGGTGGTGCAGGCCGAGCACCAGCTTTAGCTGCTGTAGCCTGCAATGCAGAACCCCACTTGTCCATAGCCACCCGCAGCCCGAGAATGGCCATTCCTCTCTTCCCATGAACCCACAGCATCATCCGCAGTCCACTCCTGGCAGGTCATCTTCTATCTTCACAGTCCCTCCCTCCCCTAACTATAATCTTTCTTCTGTGATTTGTTCTGGGGTCCTCTTGTATTGACTTCCTACATCCACAGGACTCAGGGTCCCATGCTCAGGGGCCACACATGCAGCCATGTAAGAGACACTCATACCTGAAGCCTAGACTTCTGGAATACTTTGGTTTTTTGTTTTATTTTGTTTGTACAATAAGATCTCACGCCGGGCAGGTGGTGGCGCACAGCTTTAATCCCAGCACTGGGGAGGCATTGGCAGATGGATCTCTGTGAGTTCTAGACTAGCCTGGTCTACAAGAGCTAGTTCCAGGACAGCCTCCAAAGTCACAGAGAAACCCTGTCTCGGGGGTGTGGGGGGGTGGGGAAGAAAAGATAAGATCTCACTATATGACCCTGGGTGGCCTGGAATTATGTAGCTCCACCTGCCTTTGCCTCCTTAAGGGCTGGGATTAAAGGCGAGTGCCAGCACACTTAAGGGCTGCTTCTTCTTGCTCAGGATTTTTTTCTTTAGTGTTGAGGATGGGGCTGGCATTAGGCAGGCACTTCTACTAGGATGTATGCCTACATGTCAAAAGGGGGCGCCAAATCTCATTTTAGATAGTTGTGAGCCTCCATGAGAATTGAACTCAGGTCCTCTGGAAGAGCAGACAGTGCTCTTAACCTTTGTCTTGATGGCAATTCTTCCTCCACAAGCTCCATCTCACTGGCAGGCCAGCTTCCACAGATTTCTGGGTGTTACAGCTGAAGGGTCAAAAGGAGACACCCTTTCCTATACTATGTGACCCACTGGACCAGAACCAACAGCCTATCTAGCCAAGAGAGGGTTGGCCTGAGTCCTTCAGTACCTTAAGCCAGGGAGTGTTTGGAGGTGCTGGGGAGGGGTGGGATACTCACGACTCAGGCAGGCAGTGGGCAGCAGTCAACACCCACTTTGGATGCACGAGGACCCCCCCACACACATGGGATCCGGCTTTCTGTAAAGAGGCCATGTATGGGCGGGAATGTGGGGCTGCCTCTCGACCCCCAATGATGTGGGTCTCCGATGTGTTGCCTGCTGAGAAGTGAGACAGAGAGGGAAGGTTAGGGGATGTACACCCGGCCTTCCACTGAGCCTGGAGGCCCTGAATCTGGCATATCGACTGTCTGAAATCCCCACTGATCCCTCTCCTGGACCCCACAGGACCCCACTCCCCAGATGCTCCTCTGCTGTCAGATGCCAGGCTCAAATGTGAATGAAGGGCTGGAGAGGGCTCACAGGGTAGGAGAGCCACTGGTTGCAGAGTATAAATTCAGTTTCCAGTTCCCACTCCAGGCGACCGACTCATACACAGCTGCCTGTAAGGCCAGCTCCAGGGGAATCTGATGCCCCCTTCTGGCCTCCGAGGGCACTGCATGCACCATTACCCGTAGATGGAAGTTGACTGGTGTCGACAGCGGAGAACATGTCTGTATGAGGGACTGACTCACTCTGCTCATGTTCTGGGCAGGAGTGGCGTTCTGACACATGCGATAACAATGGAAGGGCCTTGATGACACAGTGCTCAGGGGGAAAATCAGACACAAAAGGCCACAAGGTAAAACCTCACAACAGGAAGTGGATTTGTGGGTGTCAGGGTGTAGGGGTAAGTGTTCTCAGGGGATGTGAGGGATACATATACGTTTTTAAAATTAAAAAAAAAATTAGTTTTTTGAGACAGGATTTCACTGTGTTGTGTAGCCCTGGCTTTTCTGGAACTCTGTAGACCAGGCTGGCCTTGAACTCACAGACATTGGCCTGCCTCTGCCTCCTGAGTGCTGGGATTAAAGGCATGTGCCATCACTCCCTGGCTGGTGCCTATAATCTTGTGTGGTTTCTGAGCTTCAGTGAGCTGAGCAACGTGTGAATTATTTCTCAGCAAACTTCACTGTTGATGCAGTGCACCTGGCTGGGCTCAGTGAGTGGAGCACTTGCCTCCTGCACATGAAGTGCTGGGTTCTAGTCCCCCCACACCACAGAAACAAGGTCTAGTGGTGCATGCTTGTTATCCCAGCCCTGGAAAGGTGGAAGCAGGATCAGGATTATGAATTTAAAATAAACTGGGTGGTAGTGTACAACTTTGATGCCAGCACTCAAGAAGCAGAGGCAGGCAGATCTCTGAGTCTGAGGCCCTGCCTCGTCTACAAGGCAAGTTCCAGGACAGCCAGGGCTACATAGAGAAACTCTGTTTCAAAACAAGACAAAATTTAAAATAAACATTGCCAACTCAAAATCTTCCCATCATGCCTTAAAGACCCTGCTTTACCTCGAGCCACATGGCCAGTCCACACCTACTCCAGGCAGCCTTTGAGCCCCGCCACTATCTCCTTGGGGCTGCTTCCCATCCCAGGGATTTAACACATGGAAGAAGAGCTGAGTTCTCTTTTCTGTATGATTCTTGAAGTTTTACTTGACAGGGTTTCTCTGTGTAGGCCTGGAACTCACTCTGTAGACAAGGCTGGCCTGTAACTCACAGAGATCCGCCAGCCTCTGCCTCCCGAGGGCTGGGATCAGATCAAGGCGTGAGCCACCACTGCCCAGCTCCTTTCTTTGGAGAAGGGTGCACACCTCTAATCCCAGTACTTGGGAGGCAGAGGCAAACAGATCTCTGTGAGTTCCAGGTCAGCCAGGACTACAATAGTGAGACCTTGTCTAAAACAGAAATGTGTGTGTGAGTACATTCGTATGTACTCATATATATATGGAGGTCAGAGATCAAGTCTCTCACTGAGCTCAATGATTTCAGCCTGTCTTGAGCCCCAGGGATTCTTTGTCTCCTGCCCTCATGCTTGGATTCTAAGTATGAGGCATACCTATTGTTTTTTCCCCTGGAGATAGTCTCACTATGTAGTAAAGGAACTCACTCTGCAGACTGACCAGGCTGGCCTCGAACTCAGAGATCTGCCTGCCTCTGCCTCCTGAGGGCTGGGACAAAAGGCGTGCACCACCAAAGCCCTTTTCCTTCTCCACTTCTTCCTCTTTCTCCTACTCCTCCCTCCCCTTTCCCCTCCTCCTTCTATTCTTTATCTTCCTTTTCACATTCTAAGGAACGTCCTTTAGTTTACATGCATTTACGATGAACAACAGCACTTTTCACATTCTAAGGAACGTTCTTTAATTTATTTTGCATGCATTCAGGATGAACAACAGCACTTTGAGGCTTTCTTTCTTTCCTTCTCTCAGGGTGTCACCCTGTAGCTCTGGCTGGCCCGGAACTCACCTGCCTCTGAGTTCTGGGAGTAAAGGCACATGCTACTATGCCGCACCCCCCCCCCCTTTTTTTTCTTTCCAAAGCAGGGTCTCACAAGGCCCAGATGGCCTTAAACTCACTAGAGCTGAGGGTGGCTTTGAACTTCTGATCCTCTGGTTTTCACCTCCGGGATTGGAGGTTTATGCAGAATGGAACCCAGGCTTGGGGTATGCAGGCACATGGCTCACCAACTTAAGCTATATCCTAAACCCATTTTTGTTTTTTGAGATGCAGTTTCACTCTAACTGAACCCATGGCAATCCTCCTGCCTCACTCAAATCCAAGCTCACAGGCCTGTCACCAGGCAGAACTCAGGGCTTAGCTTTGCTTACCATGTGCTTTTTGTAGACGCCATTCCTTGGTGAGCTGAAGAATGATCTACTTTCCTGGTACACAAACCCACCTCTCCCATCCACAGACCCCTCAAGACTGGGCTCTAGGCCTGTTTCCCATTCATGCTCACCTGCCCACAGTGTATCCAGGGCCAGCAAGAGCAGCAGGGACTGGTGGACCTCCATCCTGGTGCAAGACTTATGGTTCCTGGAGGGTGGGGGCCTCCCCACTTTCTCTTCCTGTGAGGACAGGTGGCCTTCCGAGTCCCGCCCATCTAGCACAAGCACCAGCTCCTCCCCTGCTCTGGGTGGTTTCCATTGTCTCTGAAGTCAGACACCACCACCCTGTCTCTGGGGGCAGCAACTGGAGCCCAGCGATCAAATCCCCAGTGCTCCTTTCCTGGTCTTAACAATTTTTTTCTTTAGCACTGCAATGAACCCATGGTCTTGCAGGGGTCAGGTCTCTCCTTCCACCACTCGGGGCCTGGAATGAACTCCCATGCCTGAGCTTGGCCAGGTGCTTCAGGTCGTATGTAACAGAGGATGGCCTGAAGAGCAGGGTTCACTATGTAGCCTTAGGTGCTCTGAGCTCAGGGATTAAAGACATGTGCTATGCCACCCCCACTCCTTTTTCTTCTTGTGAGCAGGGTCTCACAAGGCCCAGATGGCCTGAAGCTCATTACAGCTGAGGGTGGCTTTGAACTTCTGATCCTCTGGTTCTCACCTCCGGGACTGAGAGGTCACTTTGTAGACCAAGCTGGGCTTGAACTCACCAAAATTAGCCTGCCTCTGCCTCAGAGTGCTGGGACTAGAGACCACCACATCTTGCACTCGCAGTTATCTTTTTTTTCTTTTTTTGTTTTTGGAGACAGGGTTTCTGTGTAGTCCTTGCTATCCTGGAACTCGCTCTGTAGACCAGGCTGGCCTAGAACTCACGGAGCTCCACCTGCCTCTACCTCCAAGTTCTGGAATTAAAGGCGTGCAACCACCACCACCCAGCCACTCTTACCATCTTAGTAACAGTGGCAAGAAGTGCATTGTAATGGCTGGGCAACAGTCCCTATCCTGTCCCCAACTCCCCAGCCTCCTTCCTTTACAAACTGCTTGTCTTTTATGACTGGTTAAGACTGGCAGGGAACCCTTTAAGTGCAGTTCAAGAGCATATGGCTTTGTTTCAGATAATAGAAATCTAGACATAACAGGCCTGCTTATGGGGAAGTGACATCAAGTTTTTTTTTTTTTTTTTTTGGGGGGGGGTGTCCTCTATGTAATCATACTGGCTGTGCTGGAACTCACTGAGGAATTCAGAGACCTGGCTGCCTCTACCTCCCAAGTGCTAGGATTAAAGGAGTGCACCACCATTGCCTGGCCTTCTTTTCTTTTCAAGCCCAGTGGTTTGAAGTCTGGGTTCCACCCCTAGCACATTGTAAGCAGCAGAGCAGGTATGCCATCTCAGCAATGGGTCACTGTCACTTTTGTCTGTAAAGTAAGACTCACCCTGCCCTTCTCTTGGGGAGCCACCAGGCTGTAACTCAATCCTCTGGCCACAGGGCCTCCTCAGGCAGGCGCTGGGGTTTCCAGGACTGAGGAAGTGCCTAGACCACAAGGACTGCTGGGATTAGGGGTCCCCCACACACCTTAGGACCCAAGACTTTCCAGAGACACAAATCCCAGGCCCAGCCTCCTGACTACAGGCTTGATATGGATGCAGGTTGATGGAGCCGCCGTGCAGTGCCTGACGCAGGCGAGCCCGATCTGCAGGCAATCAGGAGCTGCTTCTGGGCCGGGGCCCTCAGACCACTGAGCCCGATGAACAGACAATTTTCAATCAGTGCTTCCTCCTGCCCATCCCACGGCCCTGGCCGAGCTGCCCACTGCCACTGGCGTCCTGGCTGCTTCTCCCAGCTTCTCAGAAAGCCATTTTATTTGGATTTCACACACACCAAAGCAGAGAGGAGGTGACTGTGGGGCTGGCCCTGCTAGGTCTGGGATGGAGTCTCTGCCTCCCCACCAGGCGGTCCCCAGCCTCCCAGGCTTGTCACCATCTGTGAGCTGAGTGGGGTGTCTGTCAGGCACCACGGGGTAAGAGGACCTAAGGGTCACGGGACGGGAGCCCACATGGAACCTCAGTGAGGGATTCTATCGCCTGAGTCCCACACGGGTCCTGCTGAGGTAAAATTTGTAAGTTTATTTCAGGGACGCGGGTCAGGACTCCTCGGTGCCAGAGTCGTCCTCTTCGTCCCCAAAGCAGCTGTCGGCCTCCTCCACTTCGCCGTCCTCATAGTAGTCATCGTAGAAGAGGTCTGAGCCCTCGTCGGGCGCCGGCGCCTTGGTCTTCACACAGTACTCAGCCAGCGTGGTGGGCACCTTCACGCCATCACGCTCTGCGTCCACCTTGGTCCCCAGGACCTGCTTCCTAGGGAGACAGGGGAGGTGAGGCCGTGGCCCAGGCAGGATTCCAAAGACAATGGATAGAGGGTGAGAGGGTGGAAGGAAGGGGCTAGGAGACAATGGGTGACTCAGTGACCAGCTTCCAGGCAGGAAAGTAACCACAGCCAAGTGCAGGACACAGGCCTATCGCCTGGCACTTGGAGGCTGAGGCCGGAAGCTGCTGTGAGTCTGGGGCCAGCCTGGGCCACTGCAGGGCCAGAGAGGATGCAGTAAGAGCACGTGTTGTGCAAGCACAGGACCCACGCTCAGTTCCTAGTACCCACACTGGCTGCATGGCAGCTCTGGGCCTGCAATTCCAGGCAGACAGTGACAGAGCAGGACACCAGACTTTGTCCCTTGGTTTCTTATGTATGCACCCACTCACACACCACACCGACACCAAACAAACTCCCAAATTGCAGGCCTAGCCGAGGCACTGTGAAGGCCAGTGCCGGAGGCCTACGGTTGGGCCTGGGGGAAGTGACAGGGACACCAGTCTGGCTTGGCTTCACTCTGAAGCAATAATCTGCAAGAGCTTCCCTGCACAAGGGCAGCAATTAACTAAAGAAATCAGGCCTGGGCTAGAGCCTCAGGTGCCCTGAGGGGCCAGGCTGTCCTCAGGGTGCAGGTCCTGATGGGAAAGGTGAAGAGTAGGGCAGACGCCGGTCTTAGCTTCCCATGGAGAAGGGAGTGTGAGACATTGTTGGAGGGGCATCTACCACAATGCATCATAACAGCCTAGACCTGTCTCAAGGCTCTTCCCACAGGCTTCCAGCTGGCGTGTCGCTGTGTCTAGACACTGGCTCTTAGGCTGAGTTCCAGGAGTAGTACAGGGCCTCCTCATGGTCATAGCAAGTGGCTCCTGGAGTCAGAATGGTAAAAATAGCCTGGGGCTTCTGCTCTGGGACAGGGACACAGCAAGGAAGCAGCAAGGAACTGGATCAAAGGCTGCCAGGAGGCAGGGGATCCAGACCCAAAGCTTTCACTGGTGCCACACCCAATGGTGCCCTGTGCACAGCAGAGTCCAAGGCAGCCTGTCAGACACCATTATGTCCCAACTGTCAGGCTGACAGGAAGTGGGTGGTGGAAAGGGCTCAGTGTAGCCATGGCAAACTCAAAGCTTAAAACATTTACTTACAAATGACAGACAAAACAGCCAACAACAACAAAAGGCCATAACTAAGCCACATGGTGGTGGCACTTGCCTTTAACCCTAGCACTCAGGAGGCAGAGGCAGGTGGGTCTCCGAGTTTGAGGCCAGCTTGGTCTACATGGCTAGTTCCAGGACAGCTAGGGCTACATATTAAGACTTTGTCTCAAAAAACTAAGAAAAGAAACCCCATAGGACATCTTGCCTTCTTCCCACCTGGGGATGGGCAGGACAGCTGAGCAGAGGACAGAGGAACAGGGCTGCTCAACACTCAGACATTCCCAAATAACTAATACCTCCACACAGGACCACGGCAGCTACACAGTAGAGGGGAGGCCTAGGCACATCTTATTCTGAGGCCAGAGACCCTGGTCCAGGGTCTTGCTGTTCCAGCACTGATCACCAAGCTGCAGTCTGTGTCAATTCTGAGAAGTCAGGCCTGGCTTCTGCAGGACAAGGCCCAGGGGCCCCTGCAGTCCATGGCTGCAGGCTGACATGTGTGGCTTGCTCAGCATGCCTGCTGATGGGCCCAGGCCACTGCCAGTGTGGGAACAATACAGGCCTGTGTGTTTGGGTCACCGTGTGTGGACAAGCACCTGTCCTCCTGCGTCAGTGCTGAGGCAGGGGACTGCTGGTTGTGAGGTGTTATGTCACCCTGGCACCAGGAGGGAACTTGAGAGGAGGAGGATATGGGGTTACAGGAAAGCCTGTCTCAGAAAACAGAGAGAGAAGTCAAGTGACCAGGCCTGGGAATGTGGGAACCGGCATGGACATTTAGCAGGGCTGAGAGGCTGTGGGGCTTGACATTTGCCTAGAATCCTGCAAGTGCAATCTCACACCCTGCTTTAGGGGTATAAGGGAGACCACCTGACCCCCAAACAAGCCAGGAACCCCTGCTGAAAAGTGATGATGGATATGGAGATTGTCATATTGGCTCCTGAGGACAGGTCACAGTAGGCTGTGACCTTCCTCCTTTGCAAAAAGGCTCTAAGTTTCGGAACCACAAATACAAGCAATGCTTACAGAGGCAGTTGAGGATGTGGCCTATAAGTGCCCCAGTCACCCATGAAGACAAGCCAAAGAAAGGCTCTTGGCCATCTTGGGTGGTCTACTTGGTGCTCTGGGCACACAGTCCTGTTCTTTCCCTCTCCAAGCTCAGGATGCATGATTGGAAACACAACAGTTGCCACCCCAGGGAGCAGCTGTGCTATAGGGGAACAGAGAAGAGCTGACATGGGAAGGGGTTTGTGTTGTGCTCTGTGGTGTGTACCCCCCGCACCGTGATTTCGAGACAGGGTTTCTCTGTGTAGCTTTTGGAGGCTGTCCTGGCACTCGCTCTGTACACCAGCCTGGTATCAAACTCACAGAGATCCACCTGTCTTTGCCTCCCGAGTGCTGGGATTAAAGGCATGCGCTACCACCGCCCGGCAACACAGATGACTCTTACAGCAAACAGTTATCTATTACAAAGAGGCCCTGCGGCAGCGCTGTCCGGCATGACCGGCACTCACCGGATGATGTCTGTGTACTCGCGGTCCTTCCCCTTGCTCTCCTTCCACTTTCTGTACATCACTGAGGCGTCCACATTGGCGGGCGAGAAGGTGTTGGGCTCATTCAGCAGGGAGATCACACTCAGGAGGATGGTCCTGTGGGGCCGTGAGTGCAAGCTCAGCTCCCTACAGACCCTGGGGACCCCAGACAGGTGGAGCAATAAAGGAGGGACAGGGGCAGGGTGTTTTGGAGTTCCCTTGGTGTGAGGACACATGCAGCTCACCTGACATTCTGCGTGGGGTTCCACCGCTCTGAGGGCAGCTCCCCACTCTGTGGGTCGTCAACTGGGGGATGGAGGATGGAGATGCACACGTCCCCTGTCTGCAAGAATGAAGGGCTAAGATGAGGTGTGGGGCATGTACGAGGGAGGCATAAAGTGTTTGTGTGGTGGGGCGTGCCTGAGGCAGGTATCTCCACTGTTGATAGCAACTCATTTACCTCATAGATGTTTGGGTGCCACATCTTGGTGAGGAACCGGAAGGCTGGTGGGGAATATGGGTAGTCGATGGGGAACTTGAGGCGAGCCTGTAGGTGGCAGAAAGTGGGGTGATTCAATAGCAGCCCACTGAGCACTGGTGTTAGGAGCTGTACCCAGAGGGGATGAAGAGTAGTGTCCAAGACAGGCTGCCTGTCATCTGTTCAGGCATCCGAGGCCAACACCAGTCTATGTGCAATCCAGGCACCACCTCTGTGACCTGGCACACAGGTGAGGAAAGGCTGAGTGACAGTGCCACTTGCTGTGGGCCAGCCACGGGGATGAGTCATCAGGTCTTCCACCAGCACCACCCAGGCTTGGGGACCCAGGCCAAAGGTTGCCATCAGAGGCAAGCTGGAGCCACCTGCCTGGCCTCAGCAGCTGCTTGTGGCTGAGGCTCACTCTGCCCACTGTCCTGCAAACTTTGGACTGGTAGAGGAGGAAGGCCTGAGGTTTGCCATAGTCTTGTGGATCCCTAAGGGCATCCTCTAGAGTGTCCTCTGGGTAAGAATACTTAGAAGTATTCTTCTCCAGGGACATGCTTGGTCGAGTGCAGAGCCACCCAGGAATTCAAGCTGGAGGCTCTGCCCACTGGACATATAGAAACCTAGTACAGAGTTTCTAACCTTGACCTCCTCTGGACAGCCGAGGGGGGAATGTGACCTTGCTGGAACAAGACCTGTCACTTCTGTGGCTCCATGCCTTGGGAAGGCCCCTACCCCTTCCCGGACAGCTCCATTCAGAGCTAGACAGGCTGGCCACTCAGAGGAAGCTAACAGCTCCCCTTGGGAGGGGCTCCATGTCTCGGCCACCCACACCACATAGAAGGTAACATGCGGGCAGATTTGACAGACCTTCTGCAGGGCCTCCTCCCAAGCTGTCCCTAGAATAACGTGAGCCTAGGAGACTCTTCTCACAATCCTTTACAGATGGGGAGCAGCTCAGGTGTTCATGCTTGTCCTCCTAGCAGCCCCCACTCACCCCAGGACACACGGTATTAATAGCATCTGGACAGCCCTGAGGCTTCTTAGTTCAGACCACATTCCAGGGTGGGAGGCAGAGGTGTCCACTTGTGTCTCTCAGTGTTGGTATGTTGTACCTGGGAATCCTAACTCTAGAATTACCCTGGCAGAGTAGACTGCGGCTGTCCTAGTCATTGACCAAGAAGGGTAAGGATATCTGCCACAAATGAAGACACAGGACAAACATCTATCATGGGCCTACACCTGGGTCCCAGACTGGCTGGGATCTGTGCATCTACCTAATTCTCACTCTGTCCCTCCTGGCCCTAAAACAAGACTCTGACTCTTCTAGGAGTTCTAGTCCACAGCAGACAGGATGATGCCACTGCGCTGACATAGATCCCTATATTGGTCAATATCGGGTCTGCCCAAGACTCCCTGCTCTCAACCACAAAACACCTGGTGCATTGTGCCTTAAGCCACTAGAGGGCAGATGACATCGTCTGGAAGGCAAAATCAGGCCTTCAAGAAGCCATCTGCTCAGTGGAACTTGAGAAAGGGTGCCTGGGACAGTTTCCACAGAGAGCTCTGGGGGCTAGGGGCCAGGGTGCTTGGCAGGAACCCAGGGTGTGACTGAGGATGAGGGTGGACAGCCGGGCCCCTGCCTACACTGTCCCCTTGGAATGTATTACATAAAGCCTGACTAGGGCTAAAGGTGGCTGTTGTCCAAGTAGGCAAGGCAGCCAAAGCCCTGTCAGGGCCTCTGCTGGAATTGGAGCAGGTGGCTGTCCAGGCTTCACATCCCTTCCCTGGGGACACACCGGAAAGCAACTACCCCTGGTCCTGTGTCCTAGAGTGGGGAACAGTCTGAGGACATGCCAGCCAGCAGCTGACTCTGAGAGTTTGTGTTCCAGAGTGGAGAACAGCCTGGGGATGCCAGCCAGAAGCTGCCCCTGGTCCTTTATGTCCTGGGATAGGGGACAACCTGGGAGAACCTTCCCCAGGGACATACTAGTGAGATGGGGCAGCCCGAGAACATGCTTGCCAGCAGGGGGTTCCGAAGGCTCCTGTGTCTTGTGAGGGGGCTGCCTGGGGGCAAGAAGGCCAGCAGCTGCCCCTGCGGACAACCTGGGGAGATCCTTCTCCAGGGACATGCTTGGTCGAGTGCAGCCTGGGAACAAGCTAGCCAGAAGCAGCCTCTGGAGGCCTCTGTGTCTTGTGGTGGAGGACTGCTAGGGGACACACCAGTTATTAGCTGCCCCTGGTCCTCTGTGGAAAACCAGTCCCCCGGGGTTAGATCAGCACGTGCCCTACACAAAAGGGAGAGGCCGCCTTGCACGCAGGGCCTGAGCCAACCTGGGGGGAGGTACAGAGGGGAAACTGAGGCCCGTCTCACCTTGAAGTAGCCTCCCTCGTAGTAGGTGTTGGGGGGCCCGAAGATGGCCACCTCCCAGTTGTACAGGTCGCCCTCGTCCACCAGCGTCACCCGGAAGCCCTCCACCGGTTCCTCCTGCAGCCCCTTCAGTTCCAGCAGCAGCGCCTTCTGCGAGCT